CTACTAGAGAATCCCCAAGGGCAGGGTATAAGATTATTCCTTTAGGTTGCTGGATTTTGGCATCTTTAGTCTGTGTTTTCTGTAACATCACATGACAACAATTCTCTGCTATGTTATAGTCCTACTGCCAGATTCTTGGCAAGAGTAGTACCTATTAGCTATACAAATGTAAGGTATCGTTTTTTCATTTTATATTGAACACTTTAATTCTAGTCAGTTCTCATATAGAAACATGAATTATTTTTATCAAAGTGTGAGCTTACGAATTGTTGAACTGTGGAACTATTAGCATGGGGTGGAAAAACTTGCATAACTAATATATTTTCCTGTTGTAACTGCCTTGGGAGCTGGGACTTAAAGACATAATTTCACTACTTAAAACTTCTTTAATGTGTAGCGCACTGTGAACAGAGATGAGCTGTTGAAACAGGCAGAATCTGTGATGCAGGATCTAGGCAGTTCAAGAGCCATGTTGGAAATCCAGTATGAGAATGAAGTAAGTAATATCAATGCAGTCTAATTTAACCCCTTTTTTTACTGAAGATTAATACAAAAAAGCTACAACTTTCATAGAATGACTTGGTCAGACTCTTGGTTCTTCGTATTGCTGGTGCCATGAAATTTTATCTATTAATTATCCCTAATCCGCTTGGTTGTGATTTTTAGTTGCTAGGAGAAATTCTTTCTGATCTAATAAATTTCATAATCAGTCTTATTCTTCAGAGCACATTTTTTTTCCTAACTCTAAGCAAACAGCTGTGTGCGTTTCTTCTAGAATATGATCATTAGGTGGTTAATACTTTTATTCCACTATTATTCCCTCTGATATGTGGTCTTTGCAAGCTGCCTCAGTCACGCTGTAAATGTTGGTGCAGTTACGTTGTCTAGATGCTTTTTGCAATGCAGTCTTCTTTATAGCCAATAATGTACTATATTTCTCAGACTAAGTGAAGATTTTGATATTCAAAGTGACCTAATGGACTCATTTATTTATCTCATTCCCCCTCCTCTCCCCACACCCTCCCTCTCCCTGAAGGTTGGCACAGGCCTAGGCCCCACGCTAGAGTTCTATGCACTTGTATCTCAGGAACTACAGAGAGCAGACTTAGGCCTTTGGAGGGGAGAAGAAGTGACTTTAGCCAATCCAAAAGGTAAATGTTTTACTACCTAAACTATCAATATTGATCTAGTATTGAATTGATGCTAAGTTGACTTTAATTATGTGAATGGCTTTGATTGAAAGAGCACCTCAGTTTGTGGGCAGATAATATGCCTCATGATAGTGTGTGATTAGCTTTGTGGGTTTTTTTTATGTTTTGTAAGGAACTTTAGGCTATGGTTATCTGATAGCTGCTTTCAAACTTGCATTTGGAATGACACTAGCAGCATATGTATTGAAATTTTTTTCTTTTTTTTTTTTCCTTCTTCCTCAACAGGAAGCCAGGAAGGTACCAAGTACATCCATAACCTTCAAGGCCTTTTTGCACTTCCTTTTGGTAGAACAGCCAAGCCAGCTCACATCGCAAAAGTTAAAATGAAGTTCCGTTTTCTGGGAAAACTAATGGCCAAGGCAATCATGGATTTTAGACTGGTGAGAATAAAATGGAAAATGTTACTCTGAAGGGTTAAATGAAAATTCTAGTTCTGACTGTGTTGGGGAAAAATAGCATTAAGAGTTGCATGGAAGTATTTTCAGCTCTAGCAGTTTGGGTGGGGTGGGGAGAGATGCAGCTGAACTTTTGAGGGGGAAAGGGTAGTGTATGTTGAAGATACTTACAGTGGCTTTTGAGACCATAGTGAAAAAAGGAAAAGCCATTGCCTGCCATGTGTTGCAATCTCTCTCCAATCTTCTTTCAGTATCATTTTGGGCTGCTTATTATTCCAGCTGCTAGCTTGCTGATTGCTCTAAAGTATATGCACTAGACAGTCAGTTGTGTTTTCTCGACTGTAAATTTCTCAGGTAAAAATACCTCAGACGATGTGTTTTGGTGTGTGCCAGAACTATGAATTAGTAAATAATATTTTAGATCTAGTCAAGAGATAAAATAGCAAAAGATATAGTTTTGGAAGACAGTTCAGTACTAAACAAAATTTTGATTTCCAGGTGGACCTTCCTCTTGGACTTCCTTTTTATAAATGGATGTTACGACAGGAAACTTCCTTAACATCTCATGACTTGTTCAGTATTGATCCAGTAGTAGCCAAATCAATATATCACCTTGAAGATATTGTAAGACAAAAGAAAAGACTTGAACAGGACAAAACACAGGTGGGAAAGTAACCCTAAGAATGGAAGAGTGCATCTTCATACATGTTTGGATTTTATGAAGTAGTTGTAATTGAGAGTGTATGATAGTGCTTAATACTGATGGTAACAGTGATAATTACTTCATTGTAATAAAAGGAGTAGTTTTAATATTATTAAATCATTGGCTAGTAATTATAACATGGTCTTTTTGTACTGTAGACTTTAACATTAGAAATTTATTATGGGATTCTTCTGTGGGATTAAACACAGGCTAGAAATGGCTAAAACTGCCAGATGTTCACCTAAGGTAATTTCTCTTTTTGGTTCACTTTTAAAAAGACTAACCAACTTTAATATCAGAGGAAAAAAATCTATCCTTGTTTTTTTTTTAACATTCAAAAAGCTTAGCTTTTTCATTAGTTGGTTTAGTAAGATTTTCAGGGTTTCTTAGGAGTGCCCTTTGTGGTTTCTTTCCTCCCCCACTGAAAGCTGTATGCACAACTGGTGTAAACTGGCTTCATGTGTGAGCATACAGGTTCTTTTATAGATACAGAAGAAACTTAATTTTTTCAAGGTTATCCACTCTTAGCTAAAAATAATACCATTCACTGTTGCAGAGTAGTGATAAAAGGTCTTTGGCATGCATGCTCTTTCTAGCATCCATTGTTAATAGATGGTAGGTGGTAATAACCTAATTTATACTCTTAATACATCTGCTTTGTTACTAGTGAAGTTATTGCAAGCTTGTGGGCCTTTGTTCCTCTTCACCTCACTGTCTCTCTCTCCTTGATCACCGCTTTTAATTTCCCAACAAGAGTTTGAAAAACCTGAAACCTGGTGGATGAAAGCTGAAAAATGTCAGTATGCATGCCAAATATGAATGCCATTAACTATTCTAAGGAAAAAACATAGCCTAAGAGCCTTAGCATATTACACATGTCCTTCTCTTGCAATAGTATTTTCTAAATAAATAACATGCAAGAAGCTAAAGTAATTCCAAAATTGATAGAAAAAAGTGTACTGTTATGGTCTTTCAAGTTTATCCATTAAGATAGTTTATTTGGTTTGTCTTGCTTTACTGTTATGTATGAAAAATATAGAAGGAAAGAGAGAAGTACTGTAACAGTATTAATAGTAATATTCTTACAGAAATGTTTACTTAGTCAAAACTGCTTTAGAAGTCATTACTTTTGGATAAGTTAATGTGTATGAATTGTTCTCACTGGTTTTTGCTTCCAATTTTTTAGACCAAAGAAAGTCTACAGTATGCATTGGAGGCTCTGACTATGAATGGCTGCTCAGTGGAAGATCTAGGGCTGGACTTCACACTTCCTGGGTTTCCTAATATAGAACTGAAAAAAGGGGGAAAAGATACACCAGTCACTATCCACAATTTAGAGGAGTATCTCAGAGTACGTAAAAGCAAAGCTAGGACTAAAATTTTCTTTATTCTTCCTCACCTTGCTCCCAAGTAGTTTGTTTCAGTATATATTTCAGTTCATTCTTGTGAACTGGACACAGCAGTAATTTTCCTACTGATTGCTTCTGTTCTGTACTATTTTATTACTACAGAAAACCTGTTTGAATCCTAGTCAGCACACCTGACTTGAAAATTTTATAGTACAAAAAAGTCTGGTTTATACATTATGAAGTCATCAGAAGTACAGTTTTTTGGATAAGAAGGGTTGTAGTAAGTGGAGTAATTTGAGCTGTGGACTTTCAGAATCTTTTAATATGTTCCCACATTTGTGTATGATAATGAATTTGTTTGCAGTAGTGATTTAGCATGCACACTCTACTGGGCTTTGAACTGCTATAATAATAATGAGATTTTTTTGGAGTCAGACTTAAGAAAATATCAGCTCAGTTGTGAGTCAAAACCCCCAAAAACAAACAAAAAAACCCCCAAACCATAAAAAACAGGTAAGGAACAGAGAATGACACAGTGCCATAATAAGTGGACAGTACACCTGCATATTGATTTATTCCTGTGTCAGAAGGGACATAAAACCTGGAAAAACAAAAGGGTGATGCTGCTGAACAAAGGTAGGAAACTGTTTCTGCATAAGAAGGTGTTAAAGACAGTAGGTTAAAAACAGCCTGGAAAAGAGAGAGGAAACAAAAGAAGAATGCAATATTATCACATGAAGTTATGAGTGAGATAGAGGTAAGAATGATTGATTGCATCATGAAAAAGCCATTATTCCAATTCCTAAATAATGCATTTTCTGTCAGGTTAGTCTGCTGCCAGTTTCACTCTGACTGTTAAGATTTTCAAGCGCTGATAAGAAACATATCTGATGTTTTGGTAGAAATGATTCAGTAAGGGGCATATAAGCTCCTGTATATCAACTAAGGACTCTGCAAAGTTGTTCCATAATCCTTACAACTGAATGTGGAGAAGTTGCTGTTCATCTTCCAGATTCAAGTTGTTATTCACATACCCAGTTCTCATATCTTTATTTGTTGAAAGTGAATTCTGCTAGTCAAGAATCACTTATAAAATTAAACATATTTGGATATAAAGCTGTTTGCAGACTTACAGATGGGCAATGCTAACAACCATAGTTTGTTAGAAACAGCATTGCAGTCTCTATTTACTGAGTAAAGCTGAGCAAGGTTGCTTTCAAGTCTGTTTTTCATACAGTTTGCAGTCAGTTTTTTTTCTTCTAGGTAACATGTATCGGGTATCTGATATGCTGAGAAAGGCTTGCAAACATCTCGGGTGTCCTGCAGTTGCAGGCCTCTGGCATAGTAAAGGAAAAGCAGATCATTACAGAAGGCTTGCTCTCTGCTTCTTTCTAAACAGCTTTTGGGACTGTTTTCTTTAAAGGATACCTGTGTAGTTTTTCTATCCTTGTCTTTATGTTCCTGCCTGTTACAGGAGACTTTAAACTAGATCCCAGTGATTAGCATTACAGATTTCATGTCAAGGAAATGGAAAAGATTTCCGAGAGAAAATTAGTGTCCTCTGTATCACGAGTATGATGAATTGCAATTTAACCAGTATATTTAATTTATGTACAGCTGATGGGTCAGCTGCCTTGCTTTTGAAAATGTCAATTTTCAATGTCATTTTCATTAAAATCTTGTGTGTGGCTTACCATTAGAAGTAGTAGAAGCTAGAATATCCTACCGTTGTTCTTCATGCCTCTCCTGCAGCCGTGTCATTCCACCGTCCACCTCCCTTTTTTCCCCAAGGACGGTTCCCACAGAAGCTACCTTTATCAGCTACCAGTATAGTGAAAGACTTTATTCTCTGTGCCCCCCTACCCATCAAGAAAGAGGCCAACTTGTCTGTTCTAAATTTGTGGACAAAAAGTTTCTGGAGTGCAGTTTTTTGCCTAACAACTTGATCTCCTCTTTGAATCCACAAGAATACAGTAATACAGTACAGCTTAATTTTGCCACATGCTCTTGATCATAAAAAGTAACCACAGTTCTAAGTCAGCAACTTTACTTCTAGAATAGCCATAGAATATTCTACGTTCATAGAATACAATAGAACAGCCGCCTTTGCTGCTCATGCTTACCAGCTTGCTCTTCAGTATAACCACATGATGTGTGAAAGTAGGGGTATGTATCCTACCCAAAATTCAATGCCTGACTCTTCTGTAGGAAAGGTTATCAACAGATCCTAATAGGCTTTCATATCTGAGAGCTTTCTGGAACAAGTAACTCTTCAATTATTAGGACAGGGTTAAATACTTGCTTCAGGAGTCCAGCAGTATCAGTGAGGTTTTTAATCATATTTAGATGCATCCTTAGATGTCTTTCAAAGCTTTTCTCAGCATTCCAGGTCAGAGCTTTTAACACATTCAAAAACTAGTAGCTGTGTGTTGACAACATGTCTTTTACAACCAGCCTTCATTTCCTGCTAGAGCTGAGGGTAGCCAAGGCAAGTGTAATCTTCAGTAGCACTAACTGACAAAAGAATCTGAACTTGGCATGCAATCTGCCATGTATAATATATTTTTTTAATTTAGTGGAGAAATACTGGCTGCAGGAGATATAAAAGAAATTTGGTCTCATTTGTGTCGTGTCCCCTTCCCTCCCTTCCAGTGATTATTGTTTCAGTATGTGCTGTCCACTTTGGAAGGTGAATTTAATCCTGAGAGGGTAACTGCAGATACAAAACCAAAACAAACAAACAAACACCACCCCCACCCCCCCAGATTACTGTTTTACTGTCTTCTACCTTATGATTCTTACCAAATCCCAGTAACATGAAATGAAGTTATTTCTTTTTTTTTCTCTTCATGTATTCTTATAATATTAAGCTACTTAATATAACAAAAAGTCTGAAGTTACTTTTTGTAACTATGTATTAGAAAAGGCACCCATATGTTTCCATGGGGGAAACTAATATAATATTGCCAATGATGCCCTAAGGATTTCTGTTTCAGCTGCTGAATTTTAAATGGGTATCAGTGTACAGAGAGCACATCTAGTTTAGGCTTCTGAAAATATCTAATAAATGTTTAGATTTGGTTTAAAATATTTTGTTAAATAGGTTCAGTTTAACCAGCTATTCTGAATTCCAACTATTAACCTTGTTTTATCAAAAATAAAGGCAAGTAAGTTGTTTAAACTCTGCGGGAGTTCCATGCTTAAGGTATTCTAAATATGGGGTTGTTAGAACTCCAAATGACTTTTGCTAATTTGCAATGGCAGACCACATGAGAAAGTTGTAAAGAAAAAAACCCAACAAATTTTGTCTTGTTGCATTGCAGCAGCACTGCATGTGCACATATGAAGCAGTATGAGCTTATGAATTAAGGCAGAATGAGGCAATGCTGTAGAGCAGCTCCATAAATCAAAGTTCAAACTCTGCCACAATAACAGTAAGCATATGGCTAGGCTTCTGTAGAGATTTTTCTGCAGCTGTAGTCTTTTGTACAGTAGTGATCATTCCATGCTTTCTTTGTTCAAATAACTTTTTTCTCTCTCTTTCCACCCCCCCAACCCCCTTGCCTGCAGTTGGTTATATTCTGGGCACTTAATGAAGGTGTTGCCAGACAGTTTGACTCATTCAGAGATGGATTTGAATCAGTCTTCCCCCTCAGTCATCTTCAGTACTTCTATCCTGAGGAGGTTGGTAAACCTGTTTTTACTGATGCTTTTATAACCTTATATCTATACAGATGACAGTCTGAACCTAGGTATGCACTGGATGCAGTGCAGTTGTGACAGTCTGTCTACATTACATTTCCAATGCATATTAGTAAAACCTAGTGTCCTTTAAATCGCATACTTAAATGTTAAAGATTTCTGTGCTTGGTCATTTATTTGATGCTTTTATTATGAACAGCTCCATTTTGTTTAAAATTGAGTGTATCCAGTTTTTCTGAGACAAGTGCTTAAATTTATATACGCAAGCTCTCTATATTGGTATGGATACTTTAATTTCTTGTGTTGCAGTACCTCTTAGTAGCTATAGATGCGGATGCTACCTGGCTGTTCTAGTAAAAAAAAAAAAAGTAGTCAGCTCTTTAGCAAAGCTTTAGACCGTAAGAGGTGATTCAGATGAAGGGGTAAAGAATAAGGATAGTTGGTCTTGCCTTATTCTCACCACCCAGCATATCAATTTCCTTGTAAAATTCTTGCACGCTAAATTGAGACACAATTATGGTTGTCTGGACTAGAAGAGAGAATGTTTTATTACTCTGCCTTTAGGGAGTTTATTTGAAGACTGTACTTTGAAGGGTTTATTTACCTTCGTAAATGTACATCTTTGACTTCATGAATAGCACGTTAAGCATGCTCTGAAGCAGTGTGTTAGCCAAGCCTTTGTGTTACTCTCTTCTTGGTGCTTTGTGGTGTAAGAGTCTCTGAAAGCTGAGATCTGTAGCTGCTCATAGTGATTCTTCTGTGCATCTCTGGTACTACTTTTAAAGAGTACCACCACCTTGTTTTCTGCAACAAATTTAAGGCTAGTAAAAATAGCAGATTATTCTAGTTTCTCTAGTGTTTTACCCAAACTTCTTAATTTTGTAGTATATGTGATGCTGTTCTTCTGTCTTGTCATCATTTGGCATGGTTTGATGCTTGCTTCTGCTTGGAAATGAATTTAAAATACGGACGCTAGTCTATTGCTAATCTACTAATACAAAATTGAAGCCATTGGAGTAGAGCGAGATATAAGACATCCTTTCCTTAATAAGATACACATGTGCTATCTCGTGTTCTGTTGCTGATAGCTATCCAGCCATTTGGACCTTTTTACAAACCATTCCTAAACTATTATGAAGAACTTGTAAAATTCTTTTGTTCATGAACAGAACACCCTAGATGTGTCAAACCTCCGGTTTTATTGAGATCGGTGCTTTATAACTCTTGTGTATCCTAGAAGGATGTCTGTAGAAGCTTTTAATGTTTTGGCTGTAGCCTGTCATCTCTGCCCAAGTGCATAGAAAATAGGCGAAATAATTTAAGTACAAAACTGCTATCTGACAGATCATCTCTGTCTAATGACTGATCCTTTTTTTTTTTCTTTCAAAGAAGAGCTCAGAGTTCTAAAAAACAAGTGTAAACATTCTGTTCTTCCCATTCACTTAGATTTCTTTAAAAATTGTGAGATTTCCAAAAAGTTAAGGGATTTTTGGTTCTCCAGTGTAAATTGCTTATAGGACTGTCTCTGTTCTAAGAGATACATTCAGCATCTCATGTGATAGTGGATTGTATGCAAAGGCAGATTCAGCAAATGAGGCTGTCACTAGGATGAAGCTATTGCATTCAAAGAATATGGGAGGATTACTTGGGGTGACTGAAGTTGTTTTGCAGCAAGCCATTCCAGAAAGTAGAATGCTGTAAGAGTAGTCAGAACAGACAGTACTTGTTCTACCTCAAGTTCTAAAGGGGAAAATTTCCTTCCCTGTTTTTTTTATAGTTGGAGCAGCTCTTGTGCGGCAGTAAAACTGACACTTGGGATGCAAAGACTTTAATGGAATGTTGCAGGCCAGATCACGGTTATACACATGACAGGTAATATGATGTTGGTCTTGTTAAAAAATAAATAAATATTAGTACTAGAAAATACGTATTTAATTTTGATATACTGTTATTCAAGCAAAAAGAATTATATGAAACTTACTTGAAAATATTCATACTGCACTGACTGTGAATCTGATGCAATTATTTTAACTATAAACAAAATAATAATAGCTTGCTTTTTTCCCCTCCTTAGTCGAGCAGTGAAGTATCTCTTTGAAATTCTCAGTAGCTTTGATAGCGAGCAGCAAAGACTGTTTCTTCAGTTTGTGACAGGTAGCCCCAGACTGCCTGTAGGAGGTAGGTTTTGTTTATTACATATTGCTATATGTGAAATCAGTATTATTAATGCATTTCAGAACAAGTGGATTATTTCACTGCCAGAAAAAATTACTTGTGTATTTTTAGAGGTTCATACTTGTTTGACACTTCTAGTTTCAGAAGTGGCTGGGTGGACTTCAGGTAGAATTTCCAAACTTTGTGTTAATCTCATGACATTTCATTCAGTTGACTCTCTCCAGGTTTAATTTATGTTGTCAGATAACCTACCAGAGGGCAAAAAAATAGTTCAAAATTTAAACAAAACTGAAAACCCTTAATACTGTATTCCTTGGCTAGAGATGCATTAAGTTATGACAACAACAAAAGGATGCATTGCTACCTGGAAACAATCTTCCCCCCTCGGTCGCCGACTAAACCCTCCCCCCCCCCCCCCCCAAAAGGGAGACAATGCAAGCATAGTGGTAAACTTCTACCTTCTCCCCCTTTTGAATTTCAGAATTTAGATGAGAGACAGTGAGGAAAACTGAGGAATTTGCTGTCTTTGCTAGGGACCATTATAGAATACACATTTTACCATATTCTCAGCTGAACGCTTTGCAAGTAAAAACAGAATTTATGCATCTGTTCTATTACTTATATTCTTTGGGGTTTGGGTTTTTGTCCTAGTTAAAGAATTTACATTATAAGAAAGACTTGATTATTTTTTAAAAAAATTTAAGATCTCTCTTGGGAAGAGATGGTGCAGACAGGATTGAGGGTTAGGAGTATAAAAACCTTAACTGGAGTAAAAAAACCCAAGGTACAACAGTCATATAATTTCTGAGGATCTTAGAAAATGTGTATGAAACTAACAAAGTCTTAAAAATATTGTGATTGGAATAGGTTTTTTTACACATACAGAACACAAAATTAAAAGTAGATGCATCTAGCTTATTTCTTTTTTTTAATAAATCTTGGAAACTAATCTACAGAAAGGATGTTAGGTATTTTTTTAGCTTGCTACATGGGCTTATAAAGCCATATTCTAAACTTTCAAAAACGGAGATTAAGTCGTCAGTTACGAGATGCATGCTTCTGTCACTGTTAGATGTCTACAGTGTTAACCGCGGGTTTTCAAGAGGAACAACCTTATTCTGAATGTCTTTTCTTGTTAATAGGCTTTCGAAGCTTGAATCCTCCGTTGACAATTGTACGCAAGACATTTGAGTCTACAGAGAATCCAGATGATTTCTTGCCCTCAGTAATGACTTGTGTGAACTATCTCAAATTGCCGGACTATTCAACTATTGAGATAATGCGTGAAAAACTCTTGATAGCTGCAAGAGAAGGGCAGCAGTCATTCCATCTTTCCTGATCACAATGAAAAATGCAATGTCTGCCTGTTACAGCAAAAGACAAACTCATGATTATTTTCTAAATATATCACCCGAGTCAAGGAAACGTGTTACGCCTTCTTGTTGTAGAAAAACGGCTTGCAGATTATAAACAAAGACACTTGGTTGATATTCATTAAAGGCCCCTATGGACTTAAAGTGATCAGGCCCTAAAAGTTGTTGTGACAAGGTTTCTTTAGCAAGTTCTTGTTTAAATTATCATTTATTTGATGAGTGAAGTTTTTAACTTGCTTTGCTGTGTGAAATTTAAAAAGGGATGTTTTTCCAGGCTGGAACAATAAATGTCGCTGTGCAGTTTAATACTGGGCTGTGTGTATCCATCTAGCTAAGTCTGAAGTTTTTCCTCCAAAGACAACTTTTGTACATAAGTACAGAAATTAAAATACACCATGTATTTGACGAATCTAGTTTAGTAGACTAGTTCTGTGTACCCTTCACCTGCCTCTAATTTTACCCATCCTCATGTATTGTCTGATGTGCAATTCACTTGGTTCTTTTTGTGTGCAACACTCAACAATTGTTATGTTTTGGTTAGCATGGGCACTTAACTGCTCCATGCCTCTTTCTCTGATTAAGATAATTTAAATTTTACTGAAATCAAATATATATTGTCAATATAATTCAGCCTTTGTAACTAGGTAGAACCTTTCTTATAGCATAGTTTTACTGTAGTGTTAGGATATAATGGCGACAGCCTTTACCAGTCAACGCTCTAGAGCTGTTTACACAGTGATTCAGGCAGCAAAAGCCTCTTACTAGAGGCTAGGAAGAATTATTTCTTTCATGTAGTTGAAGTCCAACAGCTTGGGCTGGCCAGTGTGTATTGTGGTAAGGCCAGAGCATTTCGAATTGATGTAAAGTTTTTTAAAAGACAAATTAGTTGTTTCATTCCCTGTTTGAGTAAACAGTTTTCTTGTTCTTGATCTAAGTTTCTGGTTACTTTTGTAGTTCCCCCACCCCCCCCCTTCCCCCCC